CATTATCTGCCCCATGTTGTCACTTAGCTACTTCCATAAGTTAAACTCCCATTGGTACAAATGAGACACCCATCATTGCTTTTGCCCCATTAGTACAAATATAAACACAGTAAAAAACACAAATGAAGTCTTGTTGATGAAAATAGTTTTGACTTGCAGATACTCCCCCTCACCCCCAACAAAAGGGTCTCAAGTACCACATGCTCATGAATCACCTTGGGAACTGCTGGTTTAGATGTTTCTTGTTTTCGTCTTTCTTTAGCATTTCAGTCCTCTATTTTCCTTCTTTTGTTATAGTCTCCTATTTATAAGCATTCTTAAATCTATCCAAAAAATAAAAAGGAAATCGTTTTCTAATATTTTTCTTCCTCTTAGTTCTCATTTTCTTTCCTTTTCCTGTGCAATGCCATATACTTGTTTCCTGCACCCAGCCTCACGTCCCATTCTTACCCTGAGACCTACCATCAGATTTCAAAATCCATATGCCTCGGGCCAAAGCAATAAATTCAGGATCATGATTTCTTTCCAGTAAACCTTTGTGCTTTATATCATAGTGCTGAGCATCATTCCTGATAGCTACCCACATCGATTTAGGTGAAAAACACTCATTCTCAACTTATTTCCTTGAGTGCCTTTCTATGTCTTGGTTGCTTTTCTTTCCTTTATCTATATTGGCTAGGACAGTATATATTTGTTGAGTAAATGAATCTTGTTTCATTAGGCTCTCATCGGTGTCTTTCTTAAAGTATCTTTCTTCCCCCTCAGTTTTTGTCTTTATGAAAGTCCTGCAAGTTATAATAATATGACCCATTCTCAAATTGCAATTTCCTTGTTTTATGTGAAAGGCTTTCAAATAGGCACTTAAGCTCATTTCTCCCACTTGATCTTTTTTGGTATATTTTAATCTGCCTACAGGAATATGACTATCAGTTGTCTTTTCCTTTTGGTTATCAGTATATCAGAAATAATAGTCATTATATTTATTCTTACCTGTTCTTTTGTTACTATAATCTTTTTTTCTTCAAGGAGGTAATACTTTTTATTTTAAAGAAAATGTAATTTTATTAATTTTTTTTTACATTCTAGGATGTTTTTGCAGAGCAGTTGGAAGGGAGGGGGAGAGGGGAAAGGGAAGGAAATGTGATGGAAGGAGGAAGGAGGTGGGGTAGGATTGAGTCCTGTGGCACCCCCCTCATTCCCCCGGGAGAGACTGGGGGGCTTCCAGCAGTGGCTTGGTCATTGCCGGGCTGGGTGCAGATGTCAGGGGGGTGTGGCAAAAGCCCTTTCTCGCCACCACCACAGCTCAGGAACCCAGGGCCCTTCCTTCTGCAGCTTGGTGGTCATTACTGGGCTGGTTGTGCATGTCAGAGGGGGGGGCATGGCCGAGGCCCAAGGCCCCCCACTGTCCCTGCTCAGGAGAGCCCAGGGTGCTTCATGCAGTGCCTTGGTGGTCACCTCTGGGTTTGTTACCATAATCTTATGTTTATTTATCCTTATTTTGTTCCCATAATCAGCCCCAGTAATATCACATTGATTCCATCATCTCTGCTATACTTTTTAATGGTCTCTCCACAATTTGTGTTATATCATCTCACTCTGTAAAATATCTTTCATCCTCTCATATTCTCATTTGCCACTGACATCTTCAAAACATGAGAGCCATATTATTTTAGGAGTGGACTGCTGTAATTACCCTTCAAATTTGTCATGATTCTTCCAGTTTTTTCACTTTATACTGCCAATATACTAAACGCTTGTTATATGAAATTTACATCCTGACTTTTTCAAGGGCTAACAGAATAGTACCCTATTTGGTCATTCCAAATGCATTTCTCTCTCTGACTGAGAACTCTTGCTAATCTCTATTTGTTTGAGTCTCCTAAATATACTCCATATAATTGATTTTATTCCTTATAGCTGGACCTTTCATTATATGATAGATACTATATGTTTCATAGAGATACTTGTGAAGTTAGTGTGTACTGTAGTACACACAAGACCAAACTCGCGACTGACACCATCTATAAGACCACCCTTAGTTTCAATAATTTGCTAAAGGACTCTCAGAACTTACTGAAAGCTGTTATATTCACAGTTACAGTTTGTTACAGGGAAAGATTAAAATCAGGCAAGGGAAGAAACACATAGAGCAGAGTCCAGGAAAGCACCAAACTTGCAGCTTCTGGTCATCCTTTCTCTATGGAGTCATAGACAACATTACTTTCCTGGCAACAATGTGTGACAATATGTATAGAGTACTGTCAACCAGGAAAGTTCACCCAAGACTCAGTCTCCAAAGTTTTTATTGGGGCTCCAACACATAGGCATGATTGACTGCCCACATGGCTGTTCTCAGTTTCCAGCTCCTTAGGAGGTCGAGGTGATACTGCATGACTGAAAGCCCCCACCCTAAATCACATCATTACTATCTGGCTGGCCAAAGACTCCCAGGAAAACAATATTCCTATTAGCCATGACATTCCAAGGATTACTTTGGAGATTACCTCCCAGAAGCCAAAGGCAAAGGTCAAACCTCTCTTTAGGCAAGGTTAAATCTTTACTACACAATACTATATGTCCTTTGATTGAAAGAACAAGTTTTGCTTTCTCCATGAAATATTACTTAACTGCTATACACAATGTCTTTTCCTTTTTTCTGCATTCCCATTCTAGTTAATGTATGTGAACAGACACATTCTTGGATATGATCTAATAATTTGATACCTGATTCAACATTGTTTTATCTTAGGCTTCTTCATCTGGTTAATAATTTCCCCAAAACAAGGTCCTCCCTTTTACCTTTCCTTACTGTAGCTTGTAATAGAAGCTAGGTGTTCAAAAGTTACCTCATTGATTGTCTGTGATACCATGCAAGGAAAACATATTTCTCATTCATTATATCATTTACTGGTAAGTTCTTTTTAGATATAAGTTCTGAGATCACATCCTGTCACCTCAGATACATGTTAATGTATACTCATAAGTTTCAAAGTAGATAGTCAATAAAATATTGACTTCCAAAAGCATAAGTTTTAGTTGGGAAAGCAATATTATCAAGTTGAGCATTTTACATAGACTAGCCATGTTAAAATACCAGGTTGTTGGAAAATTTCTTGAAATAGATTGTCCAGACCATAATTTTATTCCAGTTACAGAAAATAAGACTGAAGGTAGAAAGACTATGTGAAACCTTTAGGAAAAACTGGAGAGTAGCATGTCCCTGGAGGTGTTTGAGGTTCTTAGGAAGGCAATGTAACTCCAGTTACCAAAACAGATTTGTTTCACTGTTCTAGAACTGCACCTAAGTGGAATTGTACAATATGTACTCTTTTGCATAAAGCTTACTTGAGATTCATCCCTGTTGTCATTTTGTAGCAGTAGTTTGTTTTCCTTTTTATTGCTGAGGTAGTATTCCATTGTATAAATACATGATACAGTATTACCTGTTTACATCTTGATGGATATTTAGGCTGTTTCCAGTATGGGGCTATTATAAATAAAAATGTATGCCATGGGTAAGATGAATCAATTTTTTTAATTGCCCCACCAAATATAGGTAGTAGTAAGGTAACATAGTAAGATATAGTCAAGAATTTGTAGAAAAATCATAGCTAAGGTCAATCAGTGACCTACACATACATTGAAGAATCCAGTCCTTCACAACCCCAATAGGGAATAGTAGCGTTATGTTACTGCATTGGGAAGAAAAGTAAGCTCCTCTTTCCCTAAAACTGAAAAAAAAAAAAAAAGAATTCAGGAAATTGAAAGGTGGAAAAGTTAGAATTGGTGGTCAGGAGAATTTCATTATTGACCATCTCTGTAAGAATAAACTGATGGTAACAGCAAACAAAATACAACAGTGATTACATTCAAGTTGCATACTTTATCTTCTAGTTTATTTTATAATTACAAATGGAAATGTGTTTTCCTGATTCTCTGCTTTCAAGAGAAAATAAATCACAGTTATATGGGGAGTTAGGGCCTAGACTACAGACTAGTGTTTTTGTAAACACTAGGAAATGAGCTTGAGAAAGTTAATTTGCCATGGTTGGGCTAAATGGAAGTGAAGAAGAAATGAGTGGAAGCATTTTACAACACTTATTTAAGCCTGAGGAGATCAATGTGTAGATTTTCATCTCATTGCTTGCTGTTTTGTATCCTTGATAGGCTCACTTCATTATCTCTGAATCTTCCCATTCTATGAACAATCCCCCTTTCACCATTCTTTGTCTTCTGCTAACTTATCCTTGTTTTTATTATACCTTCTCAATGCAGTTTGTATTTATAACATGCCAAAGATACAAGTGTTCTTTGCTTATGCCGATTTTTCCTCATTTTAAAGTGTAGCATGTAACGTGGGAGCCCCAAATCTGCAAGGGCACTTGCATAGTATTTGCCTATTCCAAAAACTCATCCTGTGGCCCAATGGGTAGAGACATTGGTTTATTAGACTTACAAGAGTCATTGACGGTGGCCAGTCAGTCAGAAAATCCACATTGCCATGGGGTACATATAACAGTTGTATAGTGAACAGATCAGAGTAGGGGTATAAATTATTTTCAGGCTTACCTGCAGACCCTCACCCCGCTCACATAACTCAGAGCATGTAGGAGATCTGGCTGAGTAGATAAGTTAGTCTACTCACTGTTCTCCTGGCGTCAGAGTGCTTGTTCATTTACTTAGGGTCCCTGCTCCCTCCAGCCTTCTGTTTGTCTTAAAGGGGATGTGCCTTTCCTTGGGTAACTACCTTGGCCAGGGGTAGTCTCCCAGGGGGAAGGAGGATCTCTGGTATGCACAGGGAGGGGGGAAGAGGGCTATGTCCAGCATTTACCCTACAGGCAGGATTTGTGTTTATGTTTTGTATGTTTTCCCTACCAAGAGGTAATTTATTACAGGCTTCTTGTAGACCACAGTAGCAAGAGAAATAGTCCCATCATGGGTTGTTTATATATAGCATTTATGTGAAGACTTACGGTGCTGTTAATTGTATTCTTTTCTAGAAAATTGGAATGCTGAAGATGTTTTAGTGAAGTTCAGAGAATACCAAGACAAGCATTCTAGATCCATCATATTCATCAACCACAAAAAACTGATTAAGGAGAGAAGTAATATTTATGGGAAAACATTTACTTTAGGCAAGAACCATACTATTTCAAAAACAACACTATGTGAATATAAACCTAATAGAAAGATATTGAAAAATATTTCACAATTAGTAATTAGAAATATAAGCCCTGTAAAACAGAAGTTTGATGAGACTAATGGATGGGAAAAATCACTCCTCAGTACTAAGCATGAGAAAATTCATCCTGCAGTGAGTCTCCATAAACAAACAGAAAGGGATCTCAGTGGTAAACAGGAGCTTATTCAACATCAGAAGGTTCAAACTCCAGAGAAGCCATTTGAACATAATGATTGCGAAAAATCCTTCCTTATGAAAGGAATGTTATTTACACATACTAGAGCTCACAGAGGAGAAGGAACCTTTGAATACAATAAAAATGGAATTACCTTCATAGAAAAGGCAAATCTCAGTGTCCCTCCACATAATCTTATGGAAAAGAAGCCCTCTGTATATAACAAATATGGGAAATTCCTGTACAGAAAGCCTGTTTTTATTATGCATCAGAGAGCTCAAATAGAAGAGAAACCTTTTCAATGTCTTTACTGTGGGAATGGCTTTAGAAGGAAATCATACCTCATTGAACATCAACGAATTCACACAGGTGAGAAACCTTATGTTTGCAATCAGTGTGGAAAGGCCTTCCGTCAGAAGACAGCCCTCACTCTTCATGAAAAAACACATATAGAGGGGAAACCCTATATTTGTATTGATTGTGGGAAGTCTTTCCGCCAGAAGGCAACCCTCACTAGACATCACAAGACACATACGGGGGAGAAAGCCTATGAATGTACTCAGTGTGGAAGTGCCTTTAGAAAGAAGTCATACCTCACCGATCATCAGAGAACTCACACAGGAGAGAAACCATATCAGTGTAATGAGTGTGGGAAGGCATTTATCCAGAAGACAACCCTCACTGTACATAAGAGGACTCACACAGGAGAGAAACCCTACATTTGTAATGAATGCGGGAAGTCCTTCTGCCAAAAGACAACCCTCACTCTCCATCAGAGAATTCACACAGGGGAAAAACCATATATTTGTAATCAATGTGGGAAGTCTTTCCGCCAGAAGGCAATCCTCACTGTTCATCAGAGAATACATACAGGAGAGAAGTCCAATGGATGCCCTCAATGTGGCAAAGCCTTTAGTAGGAAATCAAACCTCATTCGCCATCAGAAAACTCACACAGGAGAGAAACCATATGAATGTAAAGAATGTGGGAAGTTCTTTAGTTGTAAGTCAAACCTCATGGTCCATCAGAAAACCCACAAGGTAGAAACCATGGGAGTTCAGTAAATGATGTGACTTTTTTTTGTAAAATCTTTTTACGTCATAGTAAACCCTGTACTTGATGTTGCTTACAAGTGTAATACTATTCAACAGTTTAAAGTACTATTTATCTCCTGTTTGCCCGCCTATAAAACAACACACACAAAATATATTAGACAGATTAAATGACAAAAATCATTGAAAATAAAACCCCCAAATTTTATTATTAGATTCAATAGACAAAAACTTCTACTGTCAAATTGCTGTAAACATTTTAAATTGCTTGTTTTCAATTTCCATATGTAACTTTTTGTGAACCAGTAATAAGCAGTTGGCCAACTGGCAGTGGTCCATAGACAACACTGTGGATAGAACTGCTTTAAAAGAAAGGAGATGTGAACTATATTTCTCATTGCAAATATGAAATAAAAATTATTTGTTACCTCCTCAAAGTTAACCACAGTTCTGACTTCTAAAACTATAAATTAGTTTTTGCATATTATAAATCTTTATATAAACTGGACTATATGAGTATTATGTATTTTTACATATACAGCTTGTTTTCAACATTATGTCTCTAAGTCTAATCATTAGTGCATGTGGCAGAAATTCATTTTCATTTTACATAGAATTCCGTTATACGTTATCACAATTTATCCATTCTACTGTTGATAGACTTGTACATTGTTTACACTTAGGGTCATAATAAATAATGCTTATGAGAACATATTTGTCTTTTGGTGTACATATATGTATTTCTCTTATGTATATACTTAGGAGTGGAATTGCTGGGCCTTAAAGCATATGAATGGTTCAGTCAGCTTCGGTAGATACTGCCAAACAACTCGGAATGTCCACAACATGAGCGAATTCACTCTGAAGAGAAACAGCTATGAGAATTATCAGTACGGTGGTGGTTCAAACCAGAGGATTCATGCTGGAGGGACTCTATCAATGTTATTGTAAAAACTAGGAATGTGAATATAATGCATGTAGACATGCTTTCAGCCACAGCCCAATTTTAATATAATAACAGACAAATGTAATGAATGTGGGGTTGCCTTTAGCCACAGTTAATGCCTTATTTGAAATTTAAAAGTCACTAGAGAAAGGGAGGCATCCACCATTTCCCTTGCTCAACATCAGAGAATGTTAACTGGAGAAAAATCCTATGAGTATATTAGAGGCATGGGGTGGGGAGGGAGGGGGGAGGAGGGATGGTGCAGGAATGGAATGTGGCTATTACCCATGGACTGTACCTTACTGGTCATATACAAATGATGAATGTGAAAAAGCTTATAGCCCAAAGTTCAAATCTTACACTTCAGGTAGTTCATGTTGGATGTGAAATTTTCAAATGAAATGATTGTAAGAATGACCTTAGCCATAGCTCACTCCTTATACAACATCAAAGAATTCAGGCTAAAGAAAGGAAGATTAAAAAGGAAACAAGTGCAGCTTGGGACTCTTAACTTGGGAAAGCTAGCTTCCATGAAAGAAGTCCAGCCATACTGAGACTGTAATGCTAGAGCATCTATGTGTAGGCACCTTGGTGAGCAGCCCCAGCTGAGCTCCAAGATGTCAGCCAGCATCAACTGCCAGCCATTTGAGTGAGTTCTTCTATACAGTCAAGTCTTCACATGACTGTACCCTCTGCTGACATCCCACTGGAACCACATAAGAGACCTTAAGCCAGAACTGCTCAGCTGAGGCCTTCTCAAATATCTGACTCACAAAATAGTTACATTTTCTATTAAATTTGGTTGATTGATTAAAAGAAAGAGAAAAGTAATTTATTATTTATATAACAAAAATAAAAGTATAAATATTTGAATTCCAGCAAAGGTGTGGTGATTACTAGGTGATTTAGACATGAACAAAAAATGGCCCCAAAGTACAGTTGAAGATTTGGCTGTATTTTTGGCTTACAATTGTATAACTCAATCTTTTCTTTCTCATTTTCTGGCAGTAAATTATATTTATCAACTTGGTTAGGAGTTATTTCATGATCTCAAGTACAGAGAGAAATCAAGATATGTAATCCAGTGGAGGTAAGTACAACCTTATCCCAGTAGGTGGTACTTTTGAATGCTTTAAAGAAATTCTAAATGAATTTTTGTTTTCTAACAGCTGTTTACATATATGCTGTTGCTTCTTGGGAAAATTTGGTCCAATAACTTATATTTTGGCATGAAACAGGAGTGCTCTATATTCCAGAATCCTGCTTGAAGATTTCTTCTGAAGTAATTAGGAGTTTTCACCTTATAAGTTGATAAATATATGAAATGAAGCCTTTCTATCTAACTAATCTATTGTTCAATGGAGTTTGGGTAGCTCTGGTGAGCAAACATGATTTTAGAATCCAACTCTACTTACTCCTAAATATATACAATGGAATAGGAATCATTTTGCAAATTCATATTTTATTGACCTAACTGCAAAGTCATAAGATTTTGCCAGATCAAAAGACTAACAAGACTCCACAGAGCATACCCATGTAATAATGCTTTTATTTAAAGGCAAAGGGTGTGGCTCCACAAGAGAATGAAAGGGTAGGTAAGCATTGGGGGTCTGAGATTCATCCAGGTGCAAGCTCCCCAGTATCCTTATTCACACAGACTGCACACCATCTCTGGATTGAACCACTAAGGTCTGTATAAAACTTGGCTTTGGGAGATTTCAAGGCAGAAATTCTCTGCCAGGGTTTTTTATGCCCCTCTGTTCACTGGTTACATAATCAAGCCAGGCTGTCTAACCAGTTATGTGAGTTAAAAACCATCATAAATAAATTGGCTTTGGAAATATTCTGAGGAGGATCAGACTTTAAACAGCACCTCATATATCTCACTGCCCTTTTCTCAACCAAGAGTCAAAGCCAGACATCCAGGTCTCATGAAGGTAACATTATAACTTTGCAGTCCAGCTGTAAATTGACTCTATTCTACCCACGTATCACATTCTACTTTGTATTTTCTAGAGCCAGGCTTGCCGTGCCTGTAACACAAGTAATATGCAACAGCAAAAAACACAGGCCTCAACACTGGTCTCCATCATTCACCTGGGATATTCTACCATTTGAGATATTCATCAGTTTATAATCTTGGGCTTTTCAAAACCCTACGTCTGTGACAACACAAGTACTGATAAGGATGTAAAACAACTGGAACTCTCATACATTGCTAATGGGAGTGAAAAGTGATAAAACCACACTGGAATATAGTTTCTTAAAAAGTTAAATGTACACTTCCCATATGGCCCAGCAATCCCTCTTATAAGTATTTATTCTAGAGAAAAGAAAACTTATGTTCACCAAAACAAAACAAAAAACCAACAAAAAAACCCTGTACATGAGTGTTTCTTGTATCATTTATAATCACCCTAAACTGGAAACTACCCAGGTGTTCTTTGGTGGGTAAATGGATACATTGTGGTACATCCACACAATAGAATACTACTCAATAAAAATAATGAACTACTAATATGTGCAACAACATGGATGAACCTCAAATGCATCATGCTAAAAGAACTCAGTCCAAATAACATTCTGGGAAAGGCAAAAAAAAAAAAGAACAGAGAATGTAGTGGTTGCTGAACGTTTGGGATGAGGGGGTGGAAGTCTAAATACAAAGGGGGTACACGAGGGAATTCTTTAAGGTGTTAGAATTGTTTTATATCATGTTTGTGGTCATAGATACAAAACTACATATGTGTAAAAAATCAGAAGTACACATGCAGAAAAAGTGAATTGTACTGTTTGTAAATTTTAAAAAAATAAATGAGAACCTCCAGATCTGTTCTTCAGCTTCATCATCAGCAGGACCTCTTGTTTTGTGCTCCCCAAAAAAGTCTTTAGACTGACTTCTGAATTATATGTCCAGTAGTCACCCCACCCCCACCCCCAGGCCTTGCCTGCATGGTCTCATAATACTGGTTCCTTAAGTCAACTCACCCACAACACAAGGAACACACTGCATTTGGCCCATGTTCATAAACTCCATTCAGATGATCAGCCTCCCAGGAGTGACAGGCTTCGTGTCTGGGGTGGGAGGGTTGGAGAGCACACCTGTGAAAGATATAATAGACTATGTGTTCTGTGGGGCATTCCCAAATAGAGCTGACAATGGCTGACCAACTAGCCAATACACATTCATCAGTGCACATGCAAACACTGGGAATGATACTAAGTGGGGCCAATCCTGCTTCTAGCCATTGGTTCTCAGCAGTATTCTTATTTGCAACAGAGTGCCATATAAAGGTCTGTATGTGTATACTGCATTCTGGAGGATAGTGCTCCATCCTTGCAGAATATGTCCTTTGAGGCTTCATATTGGCTGTACTTTCAGAAAGCCATTCTAGTGCTTTATAAGAGGAATTTCTGGATGGTGCAGCATGAGATGACTAGTTCATCCTGTTATGGGCCACCCCTGTGTGAAGCTGCTATGTAATGCTGCTGCTTTCTATTTCAGTTTGCACCTACATATGGCACCAGCAAACTCTAAACCGAGCTTAGCCTTTTTCTTCCTTCCATAGCTGGTTGTATGGGGCTCCCATATGTCTATAGGAATGACCCGAGAGAGGGACACTGGTGATACTGTGATGGGTGACATACTCATGTAGCTGTGTGTGCCCTCTACTTCTTCTCATGCTCAATTCTGACTGTACCATCTCCAGTTTTCAAAGATTGCTGCTGAACTCATCCAACTTTATTACTTTGTGGTTCTGATAGGACCTAGCTCATAACGGGCAATTCAAGATGCATGGTGATTTGGTGTCACATGGCCAAGCATTCTGTCCCTACAGGACCCAGGAGCATGCCAGGAGTTTAATTTCAAAAAGTGTGTAATCATCAGCTGTAGATAGCATACCCTTGCTCCAGAACCCCGGGATCCTGCATTTTGTTTCTCTTACTGTGACTTACCATGAACTCCACACTCCATCATATTCCATCAATCATATCTCCAACGTTACACAGTATTCCAGATCAGATGGCTCAAGTAGAAGGGCTGTTTGTACCTCAGCCAGGACCTGCTACAGAGCCCTTTTCTGTTCTAGGTTCCACTCAAATCTGGGAGCTTTCTTTGTCACTCTGCCTATGGGTATTCTAAGGTGCTGAATGTGTTGCTTTCAGATCACAATGAAGTCTACCTGAAATTGTGCCTTCTTCTTTATAGTAGATGATACATAATACAGCAACTTACATTTTACTTTGGAGAGGATCTCTCAGCGCACCCGGGAAAACTGGGCCTTAAAAACTTTACTGAAGTGACAGGTTTCTGCATATTGATGAGGTTTTTCTCTCACTTTCTGGAGAACATGTGACTTAACAAGGCTTCTAATGTGCATGACATCATTTACCCATGCTGTCCCATCAAATTGATGCGATCAATGTAATTGATTACTGTGATGGTCTGCAGGATGTTTAGATGCTCCAGAACTCTTCATGCTACATTTTGACAGAGGTGGTGAAATCATAAATATTTTATCTCTTCCTTACAGACTATTTCTCATTGCCTTTCCTGATTGGAATAGAAAAGAACATAGTCATTTAAATCAATAAATGTATGCCATATACCTGAGCCCATATTAATCTGCTGTAGCAAAAATACAGCTTTCAGAGGCTACTACTTGGTAGAGCTCTCAGTGGTCCACAGCCCTTCTCCAGAGTGGTATATAAAATAGACAGATGATAGTAAGATAGTAATATGATAGTAATACCAACCACCAACTTA